GCTAGAAGAAACTGCAAAAGGAAAAAGAAGAAAAAGAAAAAGAAAAAGAAAAAGAAAAAGTTAATAAAAAGAAAAGAAAGAAAGATGAAATATCCGATAATGAAGATGAAAATAATGAACAAGAAGAGGAAGAAGAAATTGAAAAAGAATTTGTTCCAAAGAAACCAACTGCTAGAAAACCAAGATCTGCCTCAACTAGATCAAAACCAGCTGCAAATACTAAAAAACCTAAAAAGAGATCCAACTTAACAATTTCAGATAGCGATATTGATAAATATAAACACTCACCAGTTGGTTTACCCCCACAAATTATTGGTATGTAATCTATTTGAACCATTATAACCATATCTACAATTTATTAATTATTTATTTTTTATATAGCATTACCAAATAAAAGAACCATTCTTCCAAACATCAGGGGCTCAACAACAATTTATAATAAAGATGGGTATTTTTCACAACTTATACTCCCTGAATCACCAGTTTCTAATAGAAGCAAAGCAAAATCAAAATCTGATGCCAAAGAAACAAAAGTATCGAAATCAAAACCAAAAGCATCATCGAAAAAGAAATAAATTAACAAAGCTAATAATATTATTTTGTATAATAGTATTTATATAAAAAATTAACTAAACTATAAATTTGTAAATAAATAAATATAAAATTTTAAAATCTTTTTTTTATTAGTAACACAATAACATTAAATAAGAGATAAATACAAATAGAATTTATTAAATATAAAAAAAAATTTATATATTTTATTTATTATTATTTTCTATTCATTTGCTATATTTTCTTGTGGTTGTTCAAAATTTTGGGATTCGAGATCAACTACAATTGGTTGTTCATCTTCTGAAGCGACTTGATCATTTTGTTCTGTATTATCCTGTTCTGTATTTTCAAAAACTTGTTTATCAGGGTTATGTTCATTTTGTTGATTATGTTCTTGTTGGTTATATTGATCTTGTTGATCTTGAACCATTTGGTTATTTTGCTCTTGGTCGTATTGATCTGCATTATTTTGATTATGTTGCTCTTGATTGTCTTGTTGGTTTTGTTGATGATGTTGTTGGTGATGGTAATGTTGTGAATGTTGGTTTTGTTGTTGATGATGTTGTTGGTGTTGATGTTGTTGATGTTGTATTAATAAATATTTCTTTAAAATCTTTTCATAATAAACTCTACCTTGTTTTGGATTATATTCAGTTGAAACCTTTTGAACAACATTTTGGACATAATATTTTGAAAGATAAAGACCAAGATTATGAATAATATTTTCGACATCCTCTTCTTTAAGGTACAAAGTTTTATTGATATCAAAGAATTGGAAAGCCTCTAATGATTTGGCATCATCTCTTTGACAATCGGCTGAACTTCTATTACTCTCATCTTTAGATGGGGATGAGGCATCTTTGTTTTCGCCTTGGTCGCCACCAGAAACCTCGCCATGCTCTAAACCATTTGGAATGTTACCATTACTACCATCTATTTTTATTTTCTTTTCTTCATGATTTTCACCTTGATGCTCTGTTTTACCAGCTGGATCTCTACTTTCTGATGATCTATCTGTTTCATCCCTCTTTCTTTTATGTGTAGTGTTGCTTGATGTATCCTCTTCACTAGATGGAGTTCTATAGTTGATAATTGTATTAAGAATAGTGGTACCCATATCTCTTGCTAACATTAAATAAAATAACTCTGAGAATAATGATGCCTCAAAAGTACTTTCATGGACATCTGTTTCATCATAATCCAAGAGACCATCCAAAGATAACATCATTGCTTTAAATTTGTTGCCATCTGATGAAGGAGTTGTTACTGTATAAAATTTTTTAGAATTATGTGGTAATATTGTATTTGGTGTAATGGTTGACTGTTCTTCACCTTGCTTATCTGTTTCTAAACCCTTTGAATTATTTTTCATTAAAGTTTCAACGTCTAATGGTGGTATCTCTGAAATATTTGGTATATAAACAACTGTGATTTCTTGATAAAATGAAAACTCGTCGGTTGGTGGTCTATAATAATGAACCTCCATAAACTTAACCCATTTTTTAACTGAACTTAAATCGATTTGTGTGTATTCTTTAGTGGTACGACTAAAAAAAAAAAGGAAAGAAAAAAGAAAAAAAGGTGTTATTAGTTTTTGTAATTAATTTTTAATTATAAAAAAATAAATTATTTTACTTACATTGCGGTATTAATTAAAGTTTGTGGGTCGTTTATATCCTCACCATCCAACTCTGGATTCCATGAACCACCAATACATGAAATATCCTTGTCTTCTTTGGCAACTAAAAATTTAAGTCTTTTAGAAATTGATGGATCTTCTGAATTTGAATAATATGAGTAAAGCATAACCTTAGCATTATATTTGATACAATTTCCTGAGATTACTGGCTTGTTTAATTTATTGGCACCACTGAATGAAGTATTATTAATATCAATCTTTTCAATACAAAAATCTTTATAATCGATATAGAATGGAATAGTTTGATTAATATTAACGGATTGATCTGCACCATCGGTAGTTTCGACCCAGGATGCTACTAATCTAGTAAAATCTGGTGAAATTTGTAAACGAGGGAATATATTTTTTAATGATGTGTAGTCGTAATTTTCTTGTGTGAACTGGTGCGATGGAATTCTAACTATATATTTCTTATCGGAACCACTGTGAGAATCGGAAGATTTTCTATTTTCTTTATCATAATCTAATTTTTTATGTGATGGGTTTGATGAAATAGCTGATGGCCCATAATTTTTTGTTTTACCTCCATCTCTGCCACCTCCATTAAAACCACCGCCACTTTCCCTATTATCCCTATTATTGTTGCCACTATTATTGTTATTGTTATTATTATTATTATTAATATTATTATTATTATTAATGTTATATTAATGTTATTATTATTGTTATTATATAGTTATCCCTGTGTGGTTTGAATGGTTTATTTCTATTTGTGTATTTCCCTGTCCACCTTTACCCCAAGATGATCCAGATCCACGTGGTATATCTTTCATAAAGTTGTTGAAATTGTTTTGGTTCATATTATTACCCATGTTCATGTTATTATTTAAATTGTTACCCATGTTCATGTTGTTGTTATTATTTGGCATGTTACCCAAATTCATATTATTGTTCATATTATTATTATTATTTGGAATATTGCTCATACCCATATTGTTTGGCATATTATTCATTCCCATGCTATTCATATTGTTATTATTGTTCATGGCCATATTGTTCATACCCATATTGTTCATGTTATTATTATTGTTGATGTTGTTGTTATTATTAGGTACGTTATAATTATTTGGCATATTACCCATATTGTTCATGTTGTTATTATTATTTTGCATATTATTCATATTATTCATATTATTACCCATGTTGTTCATGTTGCTCATATTATTACCCATATTGTTATTTGGGATATAATTTTGATTGCCCATATTTCCCATATTATTATTGTTATTATTATTATTATTTGACATGTAGTTTTGATTACCCATATTTCTATTGGATTGTTGTGGTGATGTTCTATTAACCTGTTGGTTCATTCTTGGATCAAAAGACTAAATTTTAAAATGTTATAAAGAGTTAGTTTGGTTTTGTGTTAATATAAAAACTAAATATATTTTTACCTACCTGATTATATAGCATATTATTATTATTGTTATTATTGAATCGCATGTTATTGAAACCCTGGTTACCCATTTGATTCATATTGTTATTTTGATTGCCCATTTGGTTCATGTTGTTATTCATGTTCATATTTGACATATTCATACCCTGATTGGACATCTGGTTCATATTATTATTGTTGTTGTAGCTTTGATTAAAGCCCTGATTATTGAATCTATTATTCATATTGTTATTTTGATTATTGAAAGAGTTGTTAAACCCTTGTTGTTGTTGTGGTTGAAATTGGTTGTTGTTCGATTGGTTCCAGTCCATCAGTCTTAATACCGATAATAAATATTACTAATTTTAAAATAAATAAATAAAATATAAAAAATGAAAAACACAAAAATGAAAAAAATAAAAGACAAACTATATAATTGTTTTTAAAACTAAACTATTATAATATATAGATAGATATATAAAAAGAAATTAAATTAAAATTTTCAAATAAAATATTATTAAATCAATTTTAATTTCTTTTTTTTTTTTCTTTTTTTTTTTTTTTCTTTTATGTATATATGTTTTTAATTTGTTTGGATTTCTTTGGAGAGGATAAAACCAATAAAGAAATAAAAAGATAAAAAAAGTGTTTTCAAAAATTAGATAAATGAAAAATATCTAATTATTTCACAAAAATTAATCTTTTTTTTTTTTTATCTAGATTTGACACAATTATTACTTTAGCTGTTGATGTTTGATGCTATTTCTATATATACAATAAGAAAATATTATAATTATATATTGTTGTTTTTTTTTTCGTAGAAAAGAACAATGATATTTATTTTTTATGAAACCAAAAAAATAATGATAAAACAAAAAAAAACGAAAAAATACAAAAATGATTCAAATGAAACCAAATAAATAAGGTTTTAAAAGATGTACAAAAATATGTATATAATTAGTTTATATGGAATGAAAACCAATAAAAAAAATTAAAAAAAATTAAAAAAAAATTAAAAAAAAATTAAAAAAAAAAAAAAAATAAAATTAAAAAAATAATATTTGAAAAAAAAAAAAATAAAAAAGTATTCGAAATGAAAAAGTTTTTTTTATTTATTCGAACTTCAAATAACTATTTTTTTTTTTTTTTTAATAACTAAAAGTAAATATTTATAGTTATAGGTTTTTTCTAATTTTAAAGGTTTTATTTTACTATTTATAAAAAAAAAAAAAAAAAAAAAAAAAAAAATAATAATTTTAAAACTTATATAACGTTTTTTTTTAATTTTTTTAAATTTTTTTAAATTTTTTTAAATTTTTTTTAAATTTGATTTTAAAAAAGCAAAAAAAAAAAATTTTGTTCACAGTTAAAACTTTTTGTATGTTCAATTAACAAAGAAATAATACCAGTTAGATACAGAGCATTTAATTATGTTATTCCTATTATTGTTACTTTTTTTCTTATTTATACTATATGCATCATTTAAGAAATTAAGTTATAATAATAGTAATAATATTAAAGACTGTGCTTTATATTCAATTAGGTATTATTTTTTTTTTTTTTAACTAGAGGAACCAAATCAAATAAATTATCAATACAAATACAAAAATAACAACTAAATAAAAAATATATTTTTAATTTAAAAAAAAAATATATACAAGTTTTTTTTTATAATTAATTTAAAATTGTTTATTTTTATTATTGTTATTTAAAAAAAAAAGTATTTAAAAATCTAAACTTAAAGGATACTAAATAAAAAATAGATAAATTAGTAGAGGTTTTTTTTTTTTTTTTACCATATAGTTATAATTTTTAAATTTTTTATCACTTACTTGGCTATTAAAACATGCAGTGCAATGTGAATGATTATTTTCATCAATTTTAATTTTTGGAGCTGTTGAGGTTTTTTCGGTATAAATTGGTTTGCTTTCAATTGAATCTTGTTTTTTAACACCAGAGTTGACACTATTCATTAAACCAGGAAGAGTAAGATATTCTAAAGATTCAGCACCTATATATTCACAGATTTCTTTAATTGATCTATTATAACCGATTAATTGTTCATGTGTGGCCATATCAATACCCATATAGCATGGATGCATAACTGGTGGTGAGCTGATTCTGACATGAATTTCAGTGGCACCAGCACTTCTAATTAATTTAATTAAAGCCTTAATGGTGTTACCTCTAACGATTGAGTCATCGATTAAAATAACTTTTTTACCTGAAATGTTTTCTGTTAATGGATTGAATTTTAATTTGATACCCTGTTGACGGAGATGGTCAGATGGCTGGATGAATGTTCTGTGAATATATCTATTTTTAGTTAAACCTTCGGTATATGGAATACTGGATTGTTTAGCATAACCTATGGCAGCTGGGAGTGATGAGTCTGGTACACCAATAACAATGGTGTCTTGTGATGAGCATGTGGATGGTGGTGGAGCTTCACGTGCTAATGTTTCACCCATACGTTGACGTACACTGTGAATAAGTTGACCTTCCATTGATGAATCTGGACGTGAAAAATATACATATTCAAATACACAGAGGGCTGGGTTATCTGATGGGGCACGACCAATGAACGAGTTGATACCGTCCTCATTGATATGTACGATTTCACCTGGACGAACATCACGGATAAATTTAGCACCAATAGTGGTGATGGCACATGATTCTGAGGCCATAACATAACGAGTGACCATTTTGGTTGGATCATCTTTGCTTGGAACCTCTAATGAACCGATGCACAATGGTCTCATACCAAGGAAATCACGTACACCATAGAGACCATTTGGTGTCATAAGACAGAGGGCGTAAGCGCCTTCACATTTTGACATAAAGTATGAGATTCTGCTCTCCCAATTTGGCTTGTGTGGATCACTACCCATTGGATTATTTGAAAGTAATTGTGTAATGACTTCGACATCACTGTCCTTAAAGAAACCAACACCCTTTTCCATTAACTCTTTACGAAGTGACTTTGCTGTTGTAAGATTACCATTTTGTACGATACCAATTTGACCATGTAATGTTTGTACAATGACTGGTTGTGCATTAATTAAAGTTGATTTACCTGCAGTTGAATAACGTGTGTGACCTACGGCCATTTTACCTTTTAATGGTTTTAAATTGGTTTCTGTGAAAACTTGATTTACCAAACCCATACCTGTTTCTAAATGAACTGCATGAAACTCATCATATGTTGCGATACCACATGACTCTTGACCTCTATGTTGTAATGCTACTAATCCAAAAAATGTAATTCTTGAAACATCTAACTCTGGTGCATAAATACCAAAAACTCCACATTTTTCTTTTGGTTCATCACTTGATTCATTATTATTATTATTTTCTATTTCTTCATTAAAATATTCTGTCATTTTTTATTCTACTATTTATATATTTATTATTTATTATTTATTTATTTTCCTGTTTGGTTTAATCTGTATGTGTGTCTAATGTGTGTTCCTTTTAATTTTTAAAAAAAAAAAAAAAATTAAAATTAAATTAAAATT